AGGTCAGATTATTCGAAATTTTTCGACATTTTTTTCTGAAGAATTAAATAAATTTACGAAAATGAAGTTATTTATATACGCGTTATTTATATATACAATACAAAAGAAATATATTAGAGCTTTGGAGCTGAGGGGGATCTTCTAAATAATTACCAAAAACCAAAAGCTATACGGATAATTTCAGACACCGTGTATATATTTCTAACGCGAGTAGGTGATAGCTTCATCGTAACCTCTATTAAACAGATCGGGAGTTTACCGCCATGATCTGACCCGCTGATTGACACCGTCGAAATATTGAAGAATTATCGAGTTTCATATGCGCGATTGTCACTCGGAATGGCATAATCATCGTCCGAGAAAGACGGCCGTCGCCGTATTCGAGAGTTCCATTGATCGATCAGGATGGCTCGATGTTAACCGTCAAGCAAACCTAAAAAGGGACCGTATCAACATCGTTTCTTTTATTATATCAAACATGTGAGCTTCTTCTGGATTTCCATTGCGACATCACGCATTATACACGAAGAAAGAGATATCTGCATACACACACACACACACACACACACACACACACACACATCTATAAAAATAAATATATGCATATATATATATATATGTATGTATATATAGATGACTGTAAATAATGGTGTTTTGGGCCATCATTTATTCACTGGCAATATTCCTACGTTTCGGTTCCCTACAAGCAAGTACGTATGTCCATGTTGCTTTAATAATCGTTTATAATCGATATAACAAATGTAAATGTTTGTAAGCTTATTTGATATTCCTTAATTTCCTCTGTCTTCTATCAGAGCCGGAGTCGCAAGGTTACTGCGCTCCATACAGTGGCAAAATATGCAAGAAATATCTCAGTGGAATTGGGAAGGTGTGGTTTAATGATTCCAATGATAATCCTGGAGGATGGCTGAACGAGAAGATCACAGCGAATCTCTGGGAGGAGCTGATAGGAACTCTTCTGGAGCCATGTCGTTCAGCAGCAGAGGTGTGATAACTCAAAGTTTTAAAAACAATTTAAAAACAATTTAAAAGTTTTAAAAACAATTAAAAATAATTTTATCAATATTGGAATTGAGGAAGCCTAAACTGAAGAACTACCTACTTATCAAATATTTGTAAAATTACTTTTAAAAAGACTTATAGTTAGACCTTGTATTTGAGGCTTCTTTAAATTTGTCTTTAGATGTACAGTAGCCAATGAAGTAATTCATAGAGCATCTGAAGATAAATTTAAGTAAGCCTCAAATATAAGGCCTGACTATGAATACAGACATTAGTCTTGAGAAAAGTTTAAGATAGTTTCAGTTAGATAACTTTAAGAAGGTAAGTTGGAACTGATGAGGAAAAATGTTCTTATCATTAATAATAAATTACGCTCATTTTACTAAGTAAACATTTATAAGAGTAAAAAAAGTCTACAAGAATTAATTCTGTTGTTCCTTGATGTGTAACATCTCTGAAATTAATCTCTTATTATAGTGGAATAATTTTATCATTCTTTTATTTTTTTATGCAGAAAATGCTCTGCATGTATGCGTTTCCACTGTGTCACGAATCTACTGGCCTGCCTCTCTGCTACGAAGACTGCATGGCTGTACGCCAACAGTTTTGCTTCAACGACTGGGCGATCATCGAGGACAACAAGCAGAGAGACATTTACATTCGCTCACGTGGGCACTTTGTGCTACCAGAATGCGAGAGTTTGCCCAAAGTGAACAAGGAGACGCCTACCTGTTCACACGTACACTTGACCGACATGGACGAGGAAATCGTCACTTGTGAGTTATCGCGTTTAAATAATATTAAAGATATTGACTACGTTCAATGGAGAAAGCAGCTTTACAACTGTTGTAAAATCTTTCAATACGATTAATTCTTGCTTTTTTCTCCTTATAGATCTAAATGTATAAAACAATCATATTGAAGAATTTTACAACAGTTGCAAAGCTGCTTTCTCTGCTGATTATTGTCTGACTATTGTAATTAAATTTTTAAGTATTAATTGAATAACATTGACCGACTTTTCTAGACGATTGCATCAGAGGTAACGGCAGATTCTACATGGGGATGGTAAACAAGACTAAATACGGTCTGGATTGTCAATCGTGGAGCGCTCAGATACCACACAGTCACGATAAACCGCCTGACGTCTTCCCACAAATTCGTCACGGTGAAAATTACTGTAGAAATGCGGGCGGTGACGAGCCAATGCCGTGGTGCTTTACAACTGATCCATCAACACGCTGGCAACATTGCGATATTCCTCTATGTGGTAGGTACAATTAAAATATACTAAGGCTGGTATTCATAGTCGATTCTTCAATATTTCAAGATCGTCTTAAGTAATGTCTTAAGGCATTAATGCGACTCTTTTGGTTCATGACACCTCAAGATAGAATTTAAAACAGTCTTGAATATAAGAATAGATTATGAATATCAGCCTAAGAATTTCTAGTTAATTTATATTAATAATTTCTCTTCTCTTACGTTAATATAATTGAAACATTCAAATCAAACTTTTTTCATTTACTCCCATCACTATTTATGAAATGTATTTTGTATGAATATCTTTAATTAGAATATTTTTTGTTTCAACATGACACATGGTTGATTTTGTATAATAGTTTTAATATTTTTTTTAGATAATGTTACAATTAAAGTGGAGATCGAACCAAAAAATATAATGATGGACACCTTATTCAATAACACACTGGTACTCATACTGTCAGCGTTGGGCTTTGTAATTGTAGCTGGAGCACTATTGTCTATCCTGCTGAGTCAAAGACTGCACAAACGCCACCGAGGCTATAATCCGACTGATAATCAAGTATTGTTCATCAAATTAAACTTTAATTATAAAATATATAAGGAAAAAGAAAGAAGTAATGTTAACTCAAACGTTTCTTCTAAAATTATATGTATATATTATTGTAATTTAAATAATAATCTAAATTTATTGGATACAAAATGATATATGTATATATAAATTTGGAAATTATTTAATTTACAATAATATTGTTTGCAATATTAATATATTAATAATCTAATGTAAAGTATCTATCGCTTCGTGAACTCTTTCCAATAAAAAAAGAAAAGATAATCTCTTTTTATAAAATTATCGAAAAGAAATTCTTCTCAAAAACAATGTAATGTAAGCTCAATCGAGATTTCTTCATATATACAATAATTTTTAAAAAATTCTTCATATAAAATCAATTGTTCTAAAGTTATGTTATTAAATGTATCTTTATATTTATTTTTCGTATTTACGCCTAGATTATCTTGTAACAGCTATTTTAATTTTTCTTTTGACTTATGATTTTCAAACTTACTCGCTCTTTGCAGGATGTGAACATTGATCTGGACAAGTTGCCGAATAACGAGGCGTATCACAAGACGAGCGCGCAGCTAAATCCCAAATTGGAGAAATTGGAGTTCCCGCGGAATAATATCATTTATGTGCGGGATCTGGGTCAGGGCGCCTTCGGCCGCGTGTTCCAGGCGAAGGCGCCGGGGCTAGTCCCAGGCGAAGAATTCACAAATGTCGCCGTAAAGATGCTAAAAGAGGAAGCGTCAGACGACTTGTTGCGGGATTTCGAGCGAGAAGCATGCCTCCTTGCTGAGTTCGATCATCCGAATATCGTAAAGTTGCTGGGAGTTTGCGCGCTCGGACGGCCGATGTGCCTGCTGTTCGAATATATGGGCCGTGGCGATCTCAACGAGTTCCTGCGTTCCTGCTCGCCCAGCAATTATGTCATCCGCATGCCCAGTGTGGACGACGGCACGACAGCGGGCGAGCCTTCGCGGCTCTCGCACATGGATTTGATCAACATCGCACTACAAGTAGCATCCGGTATGGTCTACCTGTCCGACCGGAAGTTTGTTCATCGCGATCTGGCGACGCGCAATTGCCTGATAAACGACCAGATGATCGTTAAGATCGCTGACTTCGGACTGTCGCAAAAGATATACTTGCAGGATTATTATAAAGGTTTTTTTCTTATTTTTATTGGAGTGTATTTAAAGAACTTGTTGCAGAGAACGATACAGTTGTATTAAATACAAGTAAAATGCTAATATGAACAACAACATATGGAGTTTTATAACTTAACTTCCGCACTGAAGAGGATTCCAGAGTCGAAATGTTTGTAATTAACTTCGTTGATACATTTCAATTGTTTGTGAATTGTATATCTTATCACCTTATAAATATATTATTTATAAGGCGATCTCTCGAAGGCTCATATTGATATTTTACTTCTGTTTGATTTATTCTTGAAATCAAAATTATTTTTACTTTTATGTTAATTTAATGTTGCACTTTTTACGAAAATTTGTCATCATATTACTTGTAATTTTTAATAATAGGAGACGAGCAGGATGCCATCCCCGTCAGATGGATGCCGCTGGAGAGTATACTGTACAACAAATACACCGTCGAGTCAGACGTGTGGGCGTTCGCCGTGTGTCTCTGGGAGATCTTCAGTTTCGCGCTGCAGCCATACTATGGGA